CTGATGAGCCCAATCAGTGAAATGATTAAAAATTGATTTTGTCCCTGTAATTACAGTATGTAAACTACTTAGCTTGGATTGCAAAGGAAGTGATTTTCTAATTACGTATATACTCTGGTGTCTAATGATTGGTTTTTTGAAGTAATGAAGAGAGAGCCCTAACGACTCCTTGGTGCTCTGTTGTTTAAGAAAGACCATCTTTAGAGTAAGCAGCAACAGACAAAGAGTTTAAATTGAATTTTCAACACTGTTAATGTGCACATGGATTTGTTTATTAAAGAGACAGTAGCGTAATTTGATTGGTTGGGAACATCATGGCTTTTTTATTATGTAATATATTAGGATGCATGTGTCATGGTATAGGCACAGAGGTGATGGAAACCTTTTTTTGTACTACTTCAAATTCATAATATTTTCTCACAACTCAATCAGATTGCCACAGATGCCTGTTCATCCCGTGTATCCAGAAAGCCCGCAGGAGGGAAGTGCAGGTAGTGAGCTATCCTCCCATGGAAGGCACCTTTCACATCGGTGGGAAGTAAGCTGGACACGTCTGAGAGTGTCCAAGTGGCTGGCTGGCCTTACCTGTGGCATGTTCCACCAAACCTTTCCAAGGGAAGAATACTGTGTAAAGTCCCACAGGCTTTTCCCAAATGGCCCACTGGGGGAGGACGGTGCAGCCCCATGCCACGTGGAGTTCCTGCTGGCAGCAGGCAGTGCCCTGGCCCTGAGCACAGTGTGGCTCTAGGGGACCCCTTTCCAAATTCTCAGCTGCGATTGTCAGCTCAGAGTGAGACCCTGCTTGCCACCAGCAGTGCATATGTTGTTTGCAGTCATGCTGAGTACCAGCCTGCAGCCTGGGGCCTGGTCTGATGGCCATGAAGCCTGCTGCTGACTTCTTTAAATCAAGCCGGAGCATGAAGGGCAGGGTCAGCAGTGTGCTGGAGTCAGTATGATCAGCACAGCTGAGGCTGGCCTGAGCAGGGCAGCCTGGTGCTGCTTCAGTGCCAAAGAGCAGAGCGAGGTGGAGGTTGCATGAAAGAAGCACATACTGGGATACTTGAAGCACAAATGTGTGTAGAAAAACCTAAGGAGCTGAAAAGAGTTGTCTCTTTGATTTAAAATCTTTTTTGCAAGCCCCTTGGCTCCCCAGAAGTTAAAATCATGTGCATCCCTGTCCTGTTTTCTTTCCTGTCTTTTGCTTGCTTATGTCAGGAGGGAAAATGAGAGCGGTAGTTTGTCAGGTGATCTTGGTGATGTAAAGGAGCTTTCCTGAAAGGATGTTAGATCAAACACTGCAGATTTGCCAGGAGACGTGGGCAAATCCTGCTGGGGTGAGATTTTCATTTTTCAAAACATTGAACTTAAATTATGCACTGTGCACAGTGATGGGTGCCGGAGGTGGCTAGGGCCAGGCGAGGAAGGCCCAACCCCAGCACAGCCTGGATGTGGCTGGGAGGCTGCGGGGGACACAGGTTGAAGTCATGCTGCAGCATGAATGGGTGTGTTGTTGTGTTTTTAGGGAACAAGTGAAAAATACTGATGTTCTCATTGACACAAAAAGGATCCGGAAGGATCTGCTGCTCCTGGCCCGCGTGTAGTCTGCAGAATGTCATCCCACAGGGCTGCTTACAGGGCTTGTCCTGTACTCTGCTCTGCTGCAGGCAGGGCAGCTCTGCGGCAGCACCTCAAGAGCCCCTCACAAAGCAGATAAGGAATAGTTACTTAAATATGACACTGATCCATCAAAAAGGGTGCCTTGTTTTCAGCCGTGTCCCTTCGAGATTAGCAGGAGTTTGGTCTGTAACCATTGTAACCAAGATGGAATGCAGTGGTCAGAGCCTCATGACGAAGCCTTCTCAGTCCTGCTGTTTAGGGAAGTGCCCCATCATTCTCGGCAAGTCTGCTCTCAGGTATCTGCTTTCCATTGCTGTGTGTTAGATTTCCATTCTGAACCTGCAGAAGTCCTTCTAGTCCCCCCACTCAGTGATGGGTGAGAGACTGCTTTCTCCCTTTACTTTCTATACTTCATTTGAAGTAATGAACTATTTAAGTTTCCTAAAGAATGAACAAAAATGGTGTGCTTTTATCTTGATTTTGCCATGCCAGTGCTTTTATTTTGCCACCCGCTCTCTGCAGGCCTGAGGGCTCCTTCTTAGGGCAGAAGTGGGGCAGGGATGAGGACAGTAGGAATGTTAGGATGGGAGGTGTCACTGTGATAAAGTGATCTGTAGGCCATGTTTAATGCCACCAAGTGTATTAGACACTAGTAAACTGGCCAAATTTGACCTAAGTGGAACTATCTTAATTTGTTTTCATGCAGCTTGCTGCCTGTACCTTTAAAATCTCCTTTACATAGTCAGTGTCAAATGTGTTAGAATAATATTAGCACAGGTAAGTAAAATATCTTTTTATAAGGCTTTAAATCATTTCTGCTACAGTTTAATGTGTAAAGCTACAGATTTTCCCAATTTGTTCATAAGGTTATGTATCACAGACCTTAAATCATTTAAGGTTTTAAACCTGAGGGGTTCACTCACAGTCATGAACTGGAAAGCAGATTGCGAGAGACATTGACATGCTGATCAATGACATGAAGCCTCCAAACAAATCAGTACAGGACTTTAGGAGATGAAGCCTTACTGTGTTCTGTCTGTCATCAGAATTTATAAAGCATCTTAGTGAAAGCCCCTTGAGAATCATTCTTAGAATTTTGCAAGTCATGAGCGTGTATGTAAAATCTGAATTTTTTAAAACACAAGTAGCCTTGTAATAGCATAGCAAAAATGTAGTTTACGATGTTGGCGTAGGAGTACTAAGAACCTGTTTAGTGAGATAACATCTTTTCCAAACCCAACAGCTTATTATCTTCTTTGTTTCTATTTCTTGGCTTTTTTACTTTGACTGAACTGCAAGTAAACACTAAAAAGGTGTATCTGAAGGTTTTAAGATGTCAACAACAGCAGAAATTCCAGACAAACAAGCTGTCACTGTTTTTAGACACTGTGCAATTGAAAGATGTTGGATGGGACCTGTGTTTATATATAGCAGCCCAGGAATTTGCTTGTTCTGTGTCCAAATATTGTAAACAAAATTCACTTATTTGAATCCTAAGAGGATACGGACCTGTATAAATGAGACCCTAATCCTGTATAGATAGGATTTTGCATTTGGGAAAAGGAAATCTGATGACAGGGTGTTTTCTTAACCATTTCCCAGCTGTTTTCATTTCCTCCAGCCAGTGCCTTGGCTTGGCTTGGCTGCCCTCTGCCTTCTGAGCCCCCTGATAAGCAGGGTGCCCAGCAGTTGGGGTTTGCACTTGCTCAGTGGCCATTGAGGTCAGTGCTGCTGGATGCGTAATGGGAAGCTGGCCTTTGCTTTTCAGGGCTTATAATTCAACTACGAAACTAGAGACAATTGGTTTGTAAGAGAAAACCAGGCATGAGGAGAGAGCAAAAAAGAAATGTGTTCCTATGTGTGAGAAACAGTGGTGATGGCAAACCAGATGTCTGTTGAATTTTTGGCAGTTAACTGTGGAAATGTGAGTTATAAAGGAGGGGCTTGAAGCCTTTACTGGGGTAATTCTCCTATGCGATTTACGTGGCAAAATTATCACTTGGAAAACATTTCAAAGAGTGTGATAAAGTCTGGTTCAGTCTACAAGTGAGGGGAAAGGAGAGGGGATCAGGCAACATTGTGGCAGCCATTGAGGTGGAAATAAATAGCGTGAGCTTGGTGTAGTGGGAAAGCCAAGGAGCGAGAAGAGGTGGTGGCGTGGACAATGTAGGATATTTTGGATGTGTGTTGCTCTGACTGTAGTCTGGAGGAAGATGCATGGAAGTGTTTTATCAGTGTTGCACTAGCGCACGATTGCTTAGCAGGGAACTCCAAATTTGCAGAACTATTTAATATTGTTTTAGTCATCGATAGGAGCCCTCAGAGTTGTTTGTCCTTCAAGTCAACAACTGGCATTGCCTAACAGTGTGATGCTGTCAGTGCAGCCTGAGCCGAACCAGTCACAATAAATGGCCAAGCTCTTAATCGCTTCCCACAGCTGGTGAAGATGCAGATGTGTGCACTGAGGACTGCAGGCAGCAATGGGGGGCTCGGCCGTGGGGCCAGCACCTCCCCAGTAGCTGTGTGCAGGAGGTGAAGCCCAATGGCTGTGCTGCTTGAACTCCAGCCTCGGAGCCAGAGACAGCTGTATGGAATAGTTTGGTTGATGTAGATGTACAAAGTGTATTCTTTGGAAATGACCTTTAATTTCATTTGTTAGACACACATAGGAACAAACATAGTTAGAATTCTCAGTCATAAATTCTTCAGATTATAGCTTCAGTCCAGTGAACTTTATTTTGCTCTAAGAACGCCCTTTGTTTTTGTTTCCTTTTTGCTTACTAATGTAATGGCTCTAAATTCACTACTGGCAAATATCTTGGAAGTATTCTGGCTTGGCTTTTACTGCTGGCTCTTATCTCTTTTAAGTGGGGTTTATTAGATGAGATCATCTACAAAGGACTTATTTCGGTTATAAAATGGAATTAAAAAAAAAAAGTAAAAATACAGTTAGTAGCTGTTCTCTTTTTACTCCCTTCGAAAGATTAGAATATCAATGTCAAAGAGAATAACTGGGTTTCTGGAGTATGCTATGCAACTTTTGTTTTATCCTGTTTTGTCCTCTTTTGCTGCACTGTCTAGGGGAAAGGATCAGAAGAATTTCATTCTGTTCCTCAGTATTATCTTGAGGAGAGGTTTTCCCTCTCAAAACAATCCAGAACTGAAAGAACTTTTCAGTTCCCAAAATGAAATGGCCACCAAACAAGTACATTATGAAGGCTTAAAAAATAAAAGGTGTTAATCCCATTAATATTCTGATTCTCAATTCTCTGCTGCTCTGTAGATTGTCAGCTTGAGGTGGCATTGTAATATTTTAGCATAAATGTCTGAATCAAACATCGAGTTTTGACATAGTAAATTTCTAACAGGTTTTATTTTTACAGTTACGACCTTCAGTACCTTTCCTGTGTCTTTTAAGGATTTCCTCAGCCAGGGAACACATTCGTTGTTTTAAGAGTAACTGGTAAGAATACTTATTTGTTATCATAACATTTTCTTTACTTATGCATCTGAATTTTTAGTTTTTTTTTTTCTCCTGTATTAAGAAATACATAAAAATGAGGTCCCTAAATTAGATTTAAAAATCTGTTCTCACATGGCTTTGTTTTTTCTTTACATCTTCAAAAATACTATGTTTCTGTCTTTAGGAAAACTCTTTATAGCAGTTCGTTTGGGTGTCATTAGCTACAAATAGATTTTTGAAGAAAAAAATCTGCTTGGTAAAATCATGAGCATTCATCTTATACAGTTGATATCTAATAATTGTATTAGGGATGAATCATCATTTATTACTTTATCATCAGACTGATGATTTAAATAAAAACATCCATGACACTCGTGATTAAATTCATTTTATCACTTTTTCATGTTTTTTTTCCAGAAGTTCAATAGAATATCTCACGCATATTATTAAGAACCATCTTCTGTTGTATATTAGCATGAGAAGAACACCCATGAAAATCAGTGGGTGGAGGGGTGTACTACATTACATATATGCTTTTCCTCTGAGCTATTCCCGTGCAGTAGAAGAGGAGCTCCTGTAAAGCCTGAGAAACCAGATTGGTATGGAAATCAGTGTGAAATCAGAATTGGGTTATTTGGCCCCGAGTTTGAAAGAAAAGCCTACCTTCCTAGGAAATAACCAATAATTAATTCTACATTCCGCACGCGTTAATTGATTCTTAAATCAAAATTTCTGGTAGCTTCTGCTTCTAAATCAAATTCTTATGTTATTTCTTTATTGCAACTGTTATACTGGATTGTCCACTCATTTTTATATCATGTGAATCAGTGGAAACTGATTCAGAGGAATGGTGCTGATTTATAGTGTATGTAAGTGAGAGGATATTCAGGCGTACTAAAGCTTCAGTACTGCAAATGCATAAGCAGGTATTGAATTACTAATGCTAATGGAATTACTCACGTGAGTAAAGTTAAGCGTGGATGTAAGTGTTTTCAGGATTGATGTCTGTACTTAGGAATTTATATCATTTAAGAATACAGCTCACAATTTTTAAAACTTACTAATTGAATGTGAGCTACTGGATCTTTTTCTAGACAACTGACTCAACCAGCATTGCAGTGACTCGATTCTAGAACAATTCCATCTGCTTCAGATAAGATACGTGGATTTTTAAATCTGCAGATAAGAATTCAGTCTGACCAACTCACTTCACCAATCCCTAGTAATATGAGGAAATACTTGAAAGAGTAAAGGAGAAGCGCAGAACTGGACAATTAGTAACACAAATGTTTTCAATCAAATAGTTAAATAGCTCAGCAAAGATGTGGTTCATTTTGCAACAGTGTTTGGAATCCAAATAAAACCATCTGAGAGATGTGCTGTTTGTTGTGATGTTAGTGCAGAAAACAAAACTCTCAGTGTGTCTCAAATTTCAGGGAGGTGTCACAAAGCCATTATAGTTTTTAAAGAAATAAAATAAACACCACAAAACCCAAAGACAGAATTCCAAACCCGCAAGCCTAAAACGCGTATGGAGAAGCTCATAATTTATTCTTATTAACAAAGCTTACCTTTCTCTTGACCATACCCCATAGAGGTCATCATGTAAACTATTTAAATTGATAGTAATATTATGCACCACAAAATTAATTTTATATTGTATACAGTTTTTATTGTGACTTTATCTTGTTTCAAAAGTGCTTACTTTCTGATTTTGTGGATATTACTGACTGGATTACTTTTATTTTGGTTTTTACACAACAGTTATATTAGAAATTTGCTGTTTTATTCTTACCTTCTTAGTAAAAATCCTTTTATCACACAATGGGTAATTTATATCCATTACCAGCCCTTTCAATCCTTTTCAGTGGTGCTGTCAGTGCCTTTGGCACAGTAATGATTAATGTGATCTAATAATAGTGTGCCATTATATTACCTTAGTAAAACATGTACCAACATCCTATTCAGATCTACCAAATTCATAGCTTCCTATAATATTTTTGTTGAAAGACAGGATTACTATTTTTCAAAGCTGTTTTTTTTTTTTTTTTTTTTTTGCCTTTAACATATTTAATGAAATTCACAATTCTTTGCCATGGTAATCTTTGTGCATGTGTTTGGGCTTGATGGGTGAATTTTATATCATTCTGCGTTATTATGATTTGTTAGGCAAATTGTTTGACACGTAAAAAGAGATGTGCATTACACTGTTTTGTTAAGGGTGTATTTTAAGCATTCAGTACCTTCTGATTATTCTCCTATATTTATCGTAGGGGATGTATTTAAATTTCAGTACACAAGAATAAGCATTTGGACTGAAATATGTTTTTCTGTATTCTAACCCAGATAGTGCCACATCCTACAGGAGGCAAGGTCGATGCTGCTCTGCCCAGCAGTACCACTTTCTGTTACAGTGCCTTTGCTGTGGTGCTCTCTGTTCAGCGTTTCCTTAATTTGGTGCCAACAGAAGCATGCAGAATGGTGCCCAACTGTGAGTTGGAAACTGGGATCGTGCAGTGCAATGTCTGTTGTTTTCAATCCAAGATATACGTGTTAAAAAACCAAATTCAAATATACGTACCATGAACTTGAGGTTTGAGCAGATATAGCATTGCTTGACCCCAAACTCCAGTTGTCAGTAGTACCAGTTCCACCAGGAGAGGCACAACTATCCAGAAGGTGCATTTTTTGCGCCATAAAATGGAGTGTTGTTGGGGTTGTGTATGTATGATGGCTTTCTGGTCATTCCACTTCCATACCCGATGCAGTGATGTTTGCTGCTGCTGCTTTGCACAGATTCCTCAGTCCCCTGCAAGACGGGGGACTTGAGTAATGAATATTGGGTTTGTCTATTTGATACTGCTCCTAATCAACGTGGCTGACGAGTTTAGATAACACTGCATCCTTGCAAAGCATCTTAAATCTTTATCACCTAACGATGTCATTATTGTAGTCAGGGAGTCACGTACTTAGCACTGTCTGGGTGAAATCAAAATGAAATGGCATGTCCGCATCTTAACTCTACTCGTGATGTTCTGTTAAATACATACTCTTACGGTTTCATCGTATCACAATAAATAATGAATGAGAAAAATATTTTAATCTTGTCAATATCAGCAACGTCTAAAAACAAGGAAAGTGTGTGTATGCATTTATGTGGATTCCTTATTTGATTTAGGCTAAGCAATTCAGCTGTAACATGATTTGAAATATGCAATCAATGTAAACGAAGAAAAATATTTTGAATGCAGTGTATAAACCATGTGGTTCCTTAGACATATTTTTAGGAAAAGAAAAAAAGATGATGATTGTCATGCCATATAACAATAATGCTACTGGAAATATATGCAGCAGCTTTGTTTTCTGTCACGGTGAAGACAGTCTTAAGCCTTGGTCATTTAAATCAAAGATGTTCTCATCTCTTCTGTGTAGCTGATTCTTCATGACATAAGAAGAAATGAGGGGGATAAGGGGTAATAAGGCCTGAAATCTTGGCTTAACGTTGTATTCAAAATGTATAAAGCAAGTTCAAAAAGATACTTCCCTGGTTTTAGTAGTAAATATTTATTAAACAGAAAAACCTTTCATGAAGTACTCTCCAAAACGACTTTACTAATGGAGCTATAATTCGTTAAAGATCTAGAAGGGTTGTAACAGTCTGGAATGAGAGATGCCTTCGGTTGTCCTGTAAGTCAGTGGACTGTCTGTTGGGCAGACTGCCTTGTATCCTACCGATTTGTTACTCCTGGATCCTGCAGGTGTCCTAACCAGAGAGCCGAGCTGGACAGCATACAGATAGTTTTGTTTTTTTTTAAAGTAAGAATAGAACAGTCAGTCTCCTCCATTTCTTTACATGCAACCTCAAGTAGGTGTAGTTGAGTGCAGAATAGACTTTTTCATGGTCTGAAGCATTTCAGAGCTATCTCCTCTGTTGTTCCTTTCAGTGGCAGACTGTATAGAGTGCATGAGGCACTGGCTTTCATGGGGGAATTTTGTGCCTGTTTCTTCAGTAAAGTAGTATTAGAAGTCAGTGAACTGGCTAGTGAAGGATTATTTCATCTGCACATCTTTCCATCTTCGTTCTGCTGGGATAGAGGCTCTTACGTGTTGTCTCTGGGAGAATGAGTGGCTAGGAAGAGGGAGAAGATGGTCCTGGTGCAGCTGCATGAGCTGTTAAACAGGATGATTACAATTCCCTGTCCTTGCTTTGGATCCTGTCTGTATTTGCTGTTTTGTGATCTTTAACACACTTGGGTAGACTAGTGTGGCTCTGACGGGAAGGCCTTTCAGAAAGCAGAAAAATAAAATAAATTCCTAATTTTGGAAGATAAAAAAAGCACAAGAGGAAAGTATCTTATTTATTTTTTTTAAAGTCTAACTATGTCTCCTTTGAGGCCATCAGATCAATGAGTAGAAGTGGTGACTGATAATTCTTGAGTTATATCACTAGCCACTGAATTACTCTGTGACTTTAGTAATGAAACATAAATGTTCTTTTAGTTCCCCAGTGGGCATAATACCATTTACCTGTCTCAAGAATGCTTTGTAATTTAATTAACACTTGGAGTGCTCTTTGAGATCCTTAGCTAAAAGCAGGAAAAATGAGTCGGTTGTTACAGAAATCCCAATTTATCCCCATTTAAAAAAAAAAAAATTACACTTTTCCGTGAATTTTTCATACCTCAGGTAATGCTTGATAGGGGTTTGGGGCTTTGTTCTTACTGGTCCTTGGAGCCGCTTATTGTTAGTGATTTGCATAGGTGCAGTATCGGTATTACCATTTGTTCAGTGGCTCATAAATTACCAGTCGTGAGGGGGGAACTTGAGTTGTGCTAGAAAAGTTCTGCATTATTCTTTATCAGATATTTCTTATTGTTTTAGGGGGAATATTTCCTAATTTTCAGTTGTGCGCTGTCCGTAATAGCTTCCTCTTAGCTTTGTCAAGTATGCTGGTATCTTGCTGATAAATTACACAGGACTGTACTGTTGTAACTACAGCTATTCAACAGTCAGATAATTGCCACGTCCTGTTGTGGCTGGATGACTGACCGCTGACCAAACCAAGTATTTCCTTTGTATAGACAATCCCTGTCTTTAAGTATGCACCAATCTACCTTTGGACTGATTCGTATATTTCATTGTGCATACGCTTCTGTTTGAATACATGCATTTGTAAGCCAGTAGTTAAGAAGGTAGTTCAGAGGGAGATTTTTTTTTTTTTTTGCATTCTCCTCTGACCTCTGATGAAGGACTTTATTAAGAGAAGCAGGAACACTGGCAGAAAGCAAGCTGCAACTTCAATTCATCCGCATTTTCAGTCTTGTTTTGCAAACAGCCAGACATCTCTCTCTAGAATCATAAACCCCACCTCTTTGCTCCCAGGTACCTAATTCACTCTCATATTTTTCCTTAGCGGCTCTAGGCATTCATCTGGGGTTAGCTGCCTACCACCCAACTTTCTTTTTGAGGCTATGGAAACATAGCACGTTTATCTGGATACAGCTAGGCTCGATTTAAGCTTCTCTGGAAAAACATACATGTTCACACATCTCCCCCCTTTTTAATCTACTTTCTGCCACTAAAAGGAGTTTAAGCAGTCTTTCAGATAAGCAAATAATCTTAACAAGCATCTTATAGCTAGCAAAAATGTTGCACACCTGTTTGTACACAGCCTTGATGAAACATCTGAAAAGTTATGCTAAGCAAGTCTGCCATTCCCTTCTGGTATTAAATATGCCATTATCTTGAAGTTTTAAGTTGTGCTATTTGTGTAATAGCACATAATAACACCTACAAGGGAGTTTGTATCTTATTCTTTTCTTCATCTCCTCCAGCAGTTGTTTCCAAGAGCCCCTTTGGCCTTGCTTTGATAATTTAAATAGACAGTCAGCTGCATCTGTGAATGAAACGGAGGGCTGTCTGCCTTTCAGCTTTCTTGGAGATCGAGGAAGGCCAGTATGGCTCAAGTGATCTGTCACTTCTTTTCAAATAAGAGAGTAAGAGTCTGAGAAAACAGATTCAATTAATAGAATTTTACTTTTTTTTTTTTTTTTTTCTGACTCCACACCTGACTTGCTGTCCTCCTTTATTTGTACTTTTCATTTTATACCAGATCTTACTGCATAGTATTTGCAGGGAAAATGGAACAGGAGGTGCTCGTGAAGTTCATACTTCTGCACAGGTAGCAGTGCCAGGAAAAAGTGTGAATGTGCAGCAGCGATATTGACATTTGTGCCTGTACAAAGGATTTAGAATAGAATAGTTCTGTCAGAAGGGACCTACAAAAACAGAGTTAACAGAGTTCAACCTGACCACGTCAGGATAGTTTGCTTTGAGAAGAGGTGAAAATGTGCAACTTCTAATGCTCAGTTAAAAAGTGATACGCTTATCTTCCTTTATCCCTCATGCTTCCTCCAGAATATTCCATTTCTACTGAAAGTGTGGCTGCATTAAAAATAGAGCCCATCTTAACTCTCTGAATAGTGATCTCAAGTGTTGCTTTGAATGGACATTGTCCTGTGCTAAGCGCTGGAGGAAAATTCTTGTGTTGCTTTTTTTCCTGTGGGTAACTGCGCATTGCATAGTTGACCAAATATGCCAAGGCTATGGAAAAAGAGAAAATGGCAAGATGACTATTTCCCAAAAACAGTAAACACACATTGCAGCCTGGGTTCTTATTTGAGAATGCATGATTTTACTTTTTGAATAACTACTGTATTTTAACAATAGGCATCAAGTGGTTGCTATGTGATACACAACAGTGTTTTTCATGAACTTTTGGCTGCTGAATAAGCCCAGCAAATATGGGTTCTTACCCTTTTAGTTTTCTGGGTCAATTCATTTTGCACAAAGGAGAGAATGATAATTTGAGTTGTAGGCAGAGAATGTTTTCTTCACATGGCAGGAAAGATGAAAGCTGTTTTTATTTGATTTCTTTTTAAATTAAAAATTATAATTCTTTATGGAGTTACAAATAATTATCTTACTACTAAAGGCATCCTGTAAGCTTGTTACAGAGTATCTCTGTAAAATAATTGTGCTTTTAGTCACTGCACACTAAAACTGGGGGGCAAGAAGGGGAGAAATTAGGAATATAAGCACATATACAGCATATATATGTGTGGAAAAAAAATAGTGTTTTGATTACCCCAGAATTAAAGACCTAGGCAAAAGCTTTTTGTCTGCTGGGTGGTGCTAGCCAATTACAGACCGTATCATAGTGTTTTCTGAGCTGATTTTCCCTCTCTAAATGCTCAGCCCTTTCCTACTTGTAGATTGAGAGGACCACGTCTATCAGATTTAGTTGGCTTCCTGATGGGGCACCATATTGGGGCTGCTTTCATGATCTTATCTCCTGTTCTTCTGTTGTTGGAATCCCATTGAGAAGGGTTTCTGAGAACTTCAGCCTGTGCATATAAAACCTGTGTGAGAGCAAGGACTGACACCCTGAGATGCCAGGAGAGACAGGTGAGGCAGCAGGAGAACAGTCTGATGCCAGCAGTTACACCACTGCTGCACGGGGTTATTGGCAGTTTATGTGGGAGAGGGAGAAAGCAGGGAGGATTTGGGTGGGTGGGGAGGGGTTGAGAACAGGGGCAAGAAAACCATATGAGTTATTCACGGGGAGGGAGAGGTATTATTTAGGGCTGTACAAAGATATATGAGAATGTGTTTAAGCTTCTTAATGTTAAGGATCTAATTTATTTTTAATTAGCTTCAGAAATAAACATGCTCAAAAGGAAGTTTAGGAAGATTTTGGTGTAGGAAGGGAGGAGAATGGGTATTTGGTTGGAAGGCAAATGAAAGTGAGAAGAATGGTTTTTAGGGGAAGGTTAATTGTGTTGAAAGATGAAGTTTGGGGCAGGGTGAGCAAAGAGCTCTAAGTTAAGGATTCAGGGCCTAGGACAGTCAGAAGGCCATTGTGCTCTTCTGCTAGGCATTTCTCAGCTGAGACCTGTCCTGTTCTGCACTGGATATACAGGAGTCCAAATTCATGAAAATCATCTACATGGCAAATTCAGCAAAGCCATTTCTGCTCAGTCGTTGAGTCAAAGATTCTGAGTCTTTATCAACCAGCAAAGCATGTGTTTTATCTTTCTTAGAGCATTTTCTTACAGAGAAGAATCAAGGAAGTTTCAGTATATTCCAGGTAATGGAGTCCAGACTATCTTCATAAAACTGTTTCTTCCTCAGTGACCTTGTCAAAAGCTGCTGTTGCCTCTTTTGGTTAGGGTCATTCCAAATGCAGCTTTGAAGTAAGTACCTTTTCTCTTCTATATCAAAACCTGCCCTACTTTCCCCACCCACCTCCCCAAAAGCTAATCCCAAATTATGGTTACAGTGATTGCTTGCTCAAAGAGAAAAAAAAATCTTTCATATATATATATGCATTTATTCTGTCCCTTAGAAACTTCATTTGAAGCATTTATCTTTGGGATGATTTTCCCTCTCAAAGTCATATCAGACACAAAGCTATCTTCAGGGCTATTTCTTCTAGTTCACTGGACAGCTGTTCTGCCTGAAAAGAAAGAAAAGATCATGTATCAATCAAAGACTTCAGGAGAAACCATATGCTCTTTACTAGGAAAATCCTGTCTCTGAGTTCTTGATCTTCTGGCTTCTGGTTTCTTGATTTGGAGAAAATTGAGAGTTTAATATTGATATATTTTGCAAAATATCTGTTGATTTATTCTGTTTTCTGTGTTTCTTTTGTGTATGTTGATACCTGGAGGCTGTTATGAACTACTCTTCACTGGTGGCAGAGTGTTTTCTACCTCTGTGGCTTGATCAATCTGAATGTCACTATAGGCAGAAATTAGTGCTACTTAACAGAAGAAAGGCTCTTACCTTCACTTAGCTTTGCTGGTGCTGAACTTGTGATTTCCAGTGGAAAGGCACTAAGGATTTGAAGGAGATGCCCAAGCTGCAGCCTCCTTAACTAATACAGATGCCTGTATTTATTCACCATTCTGCAGTTCGGCACCTTGGTTGCAATGCAATAACTAGCAAGTAGTAACTTCCTTTTTTGTTAATTAATTTATTGCTAATCATGCACTTACTGTAGTCTGTGATGCTAATTTATAGATGATTTGAAGTACATTAAAAATTCCTTTTTTTTTTTTTTAAAGAGTACTTTATTTGCTTTATTAAATGTGTATATGCAGCAACACAATTGAAATTAGTGTGTATTCAACCCAAGTATAGGTTTTACACAAGTAAATGGAGATGCTACACTTTTAGCAGAGATTACCTTCCAGAGTGGAAACTTCATCTCTGATAGAGGGTTTTCTGACTGCATTGGGTATCAGAGGACGTTTAAGCAGTATGGAGCAGCATGGTGCAGGTAAACTGGAACCAAGCTGAAGTCTGCGTGGAGGCACAGTAGCTCAGGGGAGCTTTAAAGCTAACTTATTTGGTGAACAAAAAGAAACAAACAAAAAACAACAAACACAAAAATTCCCAAGGTTATTGTATCCACTTCTTGGTGCTCTGCAAAAATGTTGTTAGGAGTTCGTTGCATGTTTCTGCTTTGTTAGAATTTGATGGTATTTTCAGATACTGGCTAATGCCATACAGGGCTCAGCAGTGCACAGAGGTGAGGCATTTTGATGTAGATTCTTGCTGAAAGAGACCCATCATTCTCAAAGCTGGCAGACGTTGACTTGCATGAGGCTTTGCAAGGGCTGGCTTGACTGGATGTGGGACTGCAAGAGAACTTAAAGCACAATGCAGATAATTACACAGTGAAAAAGAGGCCATGAGAAGATGTGCCACCATAATTGCAGTAAATTCTTGTCGTCACACATCCCTAAGGTAGTCCCAATGCAAAATTTCCCAAAGAAAAGGTATGTACTGATTTTCAGCAGTTCTTAGATCATATCACTTGCCATTTTGGATCAAAATATTGGACCGTCAGCTTCCATTTTATGACCAGGTGCAGAAGATTTAGAGGAAGTGACAAGAAACCTGTGCTCAGTCACTGTAGGATAAGCTCTCCTTAAGGCTGTTATAATTATAAGCAAGACGCGTGGCCACTGTGTACAACCTGATAGTTCCAAACCAAGGAAAAGAGTGGAGATTATTTAATTCTCTTTTGCTTTGAAATAAAGGAAGATCAGTTTTATTTAATCAATAGACTTTAGGGTTTGATGTATGGATGAAAACTTAGAATCAGTGAAATAATATTTCTGGTTAAGTACTTCTCATCAGGAACTTGTTTGACCTGTGGGCTGCTTCATTTTTTAAACTCAGATGTCTCTATTAGAGAGACTTGGAAAGATTGTTACAGTGTCAGCATGGGGAGCATGTGCCTTAATATGGATGCATCTTGTAGGAAAGAAGATAAACCTTTTTCTTTGTACACAGACACATACATGATTTATCAAACATATTGTATTACTCTGTCTTTACAGTAAAATGTACAGTGGATGTGAATTACTCTATCTGTGTAGGATTAGAAACTCCGATGTTCTGTCTTGTATTTGAGAAGAGGATTACTCTATAGATAATGTGCAGATAATGTACTTTTAGTGAAGTGCTGCAGCTTAAAGACGGCAGAATCAACTTCCTCGAGGTAAAAGGAAAAGGAATTGGTATGGAGCGACATGGTGTTGTTGACCACAAGTAGAAATTTGGAGATGTAATCAAAACGTATCACTGTAAATTTCTTGACTAATCATTTTTTCAGTCATCATAAAGTGATCATTTGATTACAAAAAAAATAACGCACTGTAAATGCTGAGTACCTTGAAATTCACCAATTTTATTGCTTGTGTGATTGGCAGCATTAAATGCCAGCAGCTCATTTAAGTAGGAAACATCTGTACATTATCATGTAGGGATTTTTTTCATCTGTTGATTTTAGAAATGAGGATTTTATGAGTCCTTGTGTACATAGTTGTGTATTACTTATATACAAAAACAGTCAGCTACGAAAGATCGGTCCTAAAGCATCCCATGTATAGTTTTGTGATTAAGGTACCAAGCGAGCAGTCTGTGAAGCAATACAGCATACATTGCATTTGATTTTAGGTGTGGCAGCAGCATCTCTGATTTCATAACAGTGGGAGTAACATGACAGTTCAAAAGCACAGTGTGAAGATTTGTTTTCTATACGTGGCAATGTAAATTCTTAAAATAACAATGTAACTTGTACATTTCTTACTGGATATCAGGGTAATCCAATTTAGAACAATTTATTCTCAATGGGTAAAAATAGAAGATACATCACGGTGGTGCATGTACAATACATTAATTTTTATGAGTGAGTTATGAAGATGTGCAACTCAGGACCTAGGATAAACATCATCTGCCTTGATTAATCCGTTATGCTATGGCACATGTGTGTCATTTTTATTATCCTAAAAAAACCAAACCCAAACAAACACTGCACAACCCCCAAAGCAAAAACAAACAAAAGCAAAACAAAAAAAAGCCCCACCAAAACTCAAGAACAGCAACAAAATCTGTTCCTTTAATATACCAAATGCAGCATTACAGATGGATGTCTGTAGTTGTCTATGGTTTCTAAAGCAGTACATACAGAACTACTGTGAACTTCTTTTCTCTTCTGGGTCATCTCAGCCAAGGTTCTCCTACCCCCCAATTCCCAGAAAAATGCCATGTAGTTGTTGAAACTCTTAATTTCTGGATGAATGTTTGCAAAATGTCCACTTTTGAACCCACTGTAGCTGCAGCTTGGGAAGTTACTCTCTTTGGCTCTAAGCATGGGTGGGTGTCATATTTAACTGCAGTTTTATTTACAGATGGGGGGATGAACATTACTCTTGTAATCAGAAATATTTTGCATTTACAGTAAAGAATCTGCAAGAGCTTCCATCACCCATCGATAGAAGAATTAAACTTTGCTGCACTCCAGCTAGCTAGGTAAGTTGCATTAGCCTACAGATCAGAGTAGCTGTGATGTAGGAAGGAAGGGTGGGCATTTCTTAAGGCCTGCCACTGACAGACCCGTCAATGGCACATGTTGGAATAGAAACCAGGTCTCTCACTTCCCGTTCCTTGACTTACTCTCAACACAGTGCATCTATTTGATTACATAATAAGGGAATTACCTTCTTGAAATGTTGTGTTTCACCTCATGTTTATGTGGTGGAAGTGGGTGCAGAAACAATTACTTGCAACTTGCCTACTAAACTATATCAGAATTTCCTCATGTAAAACATCTGAACTTTCTATGAATGCATGCTTTGTGTGCCCAGGAGCAACTGATCTTTAAGATATCTATGTGAATACATTTTAATATGATTTCACAATGTTAAGCTATCAGTCACAATCTGTCATTTCTGAAATCTGATACTAATAGAATTTAGTATTTGCCGTTTTACGTTGGAATAAGTATAGACATAAAACAATATAAAACAAAACAATGAAAAAATCAAATCAGAGATAATTATATATTGAAGACATTACATTTAATATAAATTAGCACAATAAAAGAATATGTTTTCCTGCTATCTCAACATTAGAAAATTAGAAGAATTGCACTGTTTTTCTCCATATGTCTGTGTCACCAGGTTGTTATTTCTTTTGTTTAGTCATATAATAGGACGTGTTGAGACATATTATCCTCAACTTGTGTAACAGCCTACAAATACTGATTGCAGTTTGAGCTTGTTATGGAAAAGTATTGCCCTGTGGATTGAGAAAATGACCAACAGCGGACTATAATCTATGAAGCTGAGAGTAAAATTGCCAACTAGAGGTCATTTTTCAAACCAAGGGGCAATACTTTTCTACTATAAACTGAATATTACAGTCAGTATATGTTTTATTAAACCATTTCAGAAACTTGGGAGCAGTTTCATTTAAACTTCTTGCTTGATGTGGCTCAGAGAACAGGCCCAGGGCAGCTCACAAAAGAGGCCTGGCATAGTATTTATAATAAATATTCTGTATACTCAGTAATTATGAAGGCTTTAAGGCCTTAATGGTGAATGGCTGCATCTTGCCACCATTCTGCATCCTTAGCAGCAAGTGGAGTCATTAAGATTTATGTATAAAAATCAGTGCAAGCCACTGTTTCTCACTGTAACACTATGGCAAACTTGGGCTGGGCTACATAGGAAAGCCAATCATGGCTATCACTGTCTAAAAGATTAAAAGCACTTTTGAAAGCACTTTTTCCTTTTTCCATACCATTTCATTGTTTTTCTTTCATACTGAAAAATGACAATGACTTTTACGTTGTCTCTTATATGGAGTGACTGCCTTATGTTTTGGTCAATAGGAGGGTTTCCATTCCAGAACAACAGAAATAACAATAAGATGGACGGACAAAGCAAAGCTTTTATCCTCCTCCTTTAACACACCTTGCACATCTGTAAGGAGCTCTGCCATCCCATGACTTGGGAACAGAGGTGCCTTCTGCAGCCATTGCGCTGAATCACTTTTACTGTTAGCAGACTGTCAGCACAAAATCCTTGGTGGACTTCAGATTTCAGGAAGTCACCAAAAGTTGTAGCCTCTCTGCAAAACAAGATGCAGGGGCCAGAGAGAAATGACACCATAGGCAGAAAAGAGCTAAGTAGCATATTTAAACTTTTTTTCTTGAGATTTCCTAATGGAAAGGCTTTATTTAGAGTTCCTCATGTGACTCTTCCCGCTGAGCCTATTCTGCATCCTTTGGTGTCAACTTGTTGTCTTCTTGCAGGATTTCTAAATTTCTGATTTTGGACAAAGTTGTCAGATTGACCTTGCTTTTGCCACAGTCCTAAACTACTCCAATGTCAACAGTAAACATATCAAAGCTATTGCATGCCTAAGTTGCAAGTTCAGTGGTTGCGATTATGCAAATAGTCCATTCACATAACCATAATTAGAAATTTCTATCTGCACTTGCCAGATTAATGCACAGTTACAGCTGTAGCACAGGCAAATGAAGTGCAAGGATTTTTTTTCTGTGCTTTACTGTTTAAAAACCAGACCTTACATCCATATGTATGTATATATTACACAGACACATGCATAATTTTCTAATGGTCATAATTTTTAAAGTCTACATAAAACTTCACCACCTGAGGAAGGGTGATGGATTAGAATAATAAAAAGTGGAACAGCAAAAGACCTGTTCTACATCTAGTCCATCTTCTGGATGTTTTAGGATTGTTCCCTACAGGGTATTTACTAGTACTAAGTCCAGAGCAGTCCCAAGCAGCGAAGTTCCCACTAAAGTTTCACAGGTATAATTCAAAGGATATTTTCCTGACACTTTTATTTTCAAATCACCAGTTCACCACATTATGTTGGTTGTAACTTTGAGGACTTTTCCAGTGTCTCTCTCCTCGATGCTTTCATACCTCCAAATATTTGTAAAATATTACCATACCATAAATGACTGGGGTATTGACTGTGCCCTTTTCTCTCATCCTCCAGCTAATAACTCTAGTACTGGGCAGATTTCTTCACCACTCCCTCCCCCTCAAAAAAAAAAAAAACAACCCAAAAACTCTCTTACAGACCAAAATACTGGGCCAAGTGAAGGTGATGCTACTAAGTTACTGCTGCACATATTGTGTAATACACATAAACACTCTCTCTATACGATTATAGTCTGTGTTAGTGCTAGGAGGATGTTGTTTAGAGGTCTGTCTGATTGTATCGGGCACTGTACAAACATATAATTAATCTCATTTTAAGAAATGCTCAGCTTCAAGTTGAGTGTAGAAATATAGGGTTATTAGTTTCTAGAATGTTTTTATTATGCACTTTCTAGTTTGATTGACAACTATTACTATTTTAAGATGACAGAACTAAAACTTATGCTGCTAGATAGCATCAAATATACTGCATGCTAAGTAAACAGAAGCATGTGAGCAGGATAATATTTATTGTATGGTTATATAGCAACTCAGTAAGAGACTAGAGGGGAATTATTCTCCAAGAAGGATATTTGATACTTTACGCTTTTTGGAAATACAAACATTTTAGAAATGCAAACATAGAACTGACCTTTGCACCCTCTTTCTTCAAAGAAGCATGGAGGTTGGTTGGCTGACCTGGCTGGATTCTTCTCAAGAGCTTCTTTTCATGCTTCATGTTCTTCCCTTCTTTGAGTAACTGTGAAGGAGAGGAATAGGGTGAAATCCTTCCAATGTGAATTTTATCTCTTCTACTTTCCCGTTAGGTTTGAGAGCAGAGCCTTGCAGCTCTGACCACAATGTGTGGCGAACACTTCATAGGCAGTCGTTGTCCCAGAGAACCTGGCCATTCAGGCAGATGGAGGACTGGAGGGGAAAGAGACACTGTCAGAAGAAGCGTTGTGGGGTGCAGCAAGAGAAGGATGGAGCTGTGACTGCCAAGTCAGGGGCAGTTTTTCAGTTGGCACAAAAAAATCAATAATAATTTTAACTGAATAAATACTAATTTTGTTTCCAGGACAAAAAGAATAGTTAGTATGAAGAATGTGTAAATTTCCTGTGTATTTCTAGTGAATATTTAATATAATGCAATTAGAGGATGGCTAAGAATTATATGGCTTTTAAAAACCAACAAATAAATGGACTCCTGTTTTCATGATATGATTCACCCATCTACAATTACTTCTGAAATTCGAGTTAGAAAGCAAGATCTGAAATGTCTAAACCTGTTTCAGAACGTTGTGCTTATGCTCAGTATGCATCACCTGGGCTCAGGGCGGGACACCAGAGGTGTGCATCTTGCATATAGATCAAGCCATATAAACAGTGCTATCTAAGATAACGTGGCATTCATTAAGAACCAGGAAGACTTTTTTTAAAAAATAACTGTTTTGCAACAAATTATGTGGCTTAGTGTTGCAGAAAGTTTGTCAGACACAGAGTATATTATGCAAAAGTACCTGGTTTACCTGATATGAACTTCTGTATCTGGAAGGAGTACAGCTATGTCAATCTGCTGTTCTGCTTGGGCTAATTTATCTTAATTTAGATTTAGCCTGACTATTCCAACGCAGTACTACACGAACCTCTTTAGTAGAAGAAATTCAGACAAGCAACTCTTCAAATCAATCTCAATTCAGGGTTTTGTAAATACATGACCAAGAATAACTGCTTGTGTCCTTTGCACAGCATCAATGCAAGTAGCTGTAAAATCACAAAATAATATTGTTAGACAATTGTTTTTGGCAAACTTGGATAACTGGGTAAGAGAAGGAGAATCAGTGGGGTTGATATAGATCACTGTTATTTACTCGCTTGGGTAAATTAATTTTTCCAGTAATTAAGACAGAAAGTACCCCAAGTGTGGGGTGTTTTTTCCTTTTCCCTCAGCATGCCTTTATGTACAGTAAAATGAGTACCTGACTCATAATGGGGCTGCTAGGCAGTGCTTCTGAATAGTTGCAGTTTCAAACTGAAATTGCAATCTTTAAACACAAGAAGTATTCAGGAAAACTAAAAAATCAAGTAGAAATTATTAGGAACTTGTCTGGTCACGTTCAGTGTTTATTCCTAAAGTATAATGCATCAGTTACTTCATTGTTGGAAAGTTCTCTTTCGGACTGCAATATCCTCTTCCCTCTTAAGTAGTTGACTGTTGCAGCATACTTTGTATTTGCTTCAGCTTCTTACTATGTATGACAGTGGCTTTCTTACTGACTTGTGCTTGGCATCAGGCTGATGCCATTAAAAAAATGCCAGACTTAAAAACGCTCATTTTCAAATCTTGATTGGTGAGTGTGCTGATGGTGCTCATGGAAGTACAATTTGCAAATAGCAGCTCTTGTCAATCACAGCCATGTGCCGCTGTGTCTTACGTACTTATGAGTAAGTTGTTACCAATCTTGTTACCTGTTTCAAAGCCCTTCTCATCCATCTGTGATGCTCAAGTTCCTCTCTTTTGGTCAATAATATTCACATTTCAGAATGATGCATCTAATGACTGGGCTCACTTTGAGGGCACAGTGCCATGTTAGGATGAAATAAAGCGTCACAGTGTCTTAAATAAGTGAGTCAGTCAGCATGAGAAGAACAAAAACTTTGTATGGAGGAAAAGAAAATGGAGAGGAAGAGCTGTGCCATTGAGAAAGCAGCCCCTTAAAGGTTATATGTAAAGAAATGTCATCTGCATCATTTTCGGTTGGGTTGAGAGTGGTTTTATGGGATTTGTGATCACATTACATGCTCCTTAGGCCCTTCAATTAATTTTTCTGGATTTTGCCTCCATGTTTCCTGCGCAGTCCTCTAGAATATTGCAGTAGACTGCCCAGTGTACATTGCAATGCTTTATTCTCAGATTCGGGAAGAACTGTGTCAGATGTTACTCAAACACACCTCACCTACAGTCTTGCATCACTGGGGTCATGGTTTAAATGCCAGTATGGTTTCCATTTGAGCATCTTTGTCTCCCAGAAGTTCAATTCTGTTCACAAGTGCTTGCTCAGGAATGACACTGATATTCAGAAGGATCTGCAAATGCCTCAGAGATCAGATGGAAAATATGTATATAGTGTATGTATGTACTGCATGTGGCAGCTAGGCATAGTAATGGAGTAACGCTTTAATACGTACAGTGTATTTATTATACAGTCAAGTGGAAAAAAGTGGATGTTTCTATTTATCAGTTCTTTTTTGTCTTGGGTGTTTCTATCTCTGACTGATACAAATATTTTGGAATCTAAACATATCTCCACAATACTGTTGTGTCTTTGTTCTGGATTTCTTTCATCTTAACTTATCAACACAGTATATGAGCCATTTTATCCTACAGTGTGATCATCATCCTAGTGTGTATTTGCTCATTAATGTCACGTTAAGATCTAAGGAAATATGAAAGAAGTGAAATTTCTTTTTTTTTTTTTTTTGTTTGTACTAATTTATTTTATACTAATAATAATGAAATAGAAAATCTATGGTACCGTAGCTTTGAAACAATAATAATAATAAGAGTATACACACTTCCCCCAACTCTGTACTGCTTCTAGGCTTACATTGGCTTAAATATTAGCACTCAAACATGACCTTAAAGCAAAAAATTGGAACAAGTTTCTCTCATTTTAAGGGTAGATAATTGTTTTGGCGTTTTTTTAAGGGGTTAGAATAATATAATCATTTAAATAACAAATGTGTATACAATGCCCATTTAAACCTCTGTATTTTTTTCACTGAATGGATTTATTTTTTAACTCATTGCATAACTTCATCAGAGGTCTTTTTTTATATATCTGATATTCACATTTTGAAAAGAAAAAGTACCAGTAATAAATATAAGACAGTTTTGTTTTTTTGAAAGCTGGCCATGATTGCAAACTGGATGTGCTTTTGTTAAATATGACCTTTTTCCCACAGAGTTACCCTAGAAGTATTTCAAGTTGATTTGTGTGTTTAGAACAAACAATCCCTAACACACACAACTTTCTGGTTTTCAGCTAGAAACTGCAGTTCTCCTGGAAGGATGCAGACAGAGAGGGATGTGCGAGTGTGTCATGGAGACCACAATTTACGTGTTAGGGTTTGGGTGTTTTGTCTAACATAAGGTGTTGAAAATTCTCACAGTTGGAGCCCACTTCTCTCCACTGCCTGGACAGGGAGCCAGAAGTGGGACGGTCCTGGTCATGTGAAGCAAAAGATGTCCAAGTGGCAGCACGGGGTGAGTTGTTAGGGCTGTGTTATGACATCAGTTCCTATGGGGAGTGGTGGGGCTCTCATCCTTGTCCTGAGAACGAGCACTGGGGGATGTTTCCCATCTATCAGACCCTGATGTGCCAGGGGAACTCTGTGTGTTGTTTTGGGAGAGTAGTCACAGCCTGAAGCAGTTCTCTGGACAGCTCTCATTCAAAGCTGCTTATTATGTCTTCTCAGCTCAAACGTCCCGCCACATTCTCTGCTTGATTTTTATTTCTCAACATCTTTTTCCTTTTGTGAGGACAGATCATCATCCACAAACTCATTAAAAAAAAAAAATATATATATATATATATGGTGAAAGCTTTTAATTTGGGAAACTAGATTTCCATCTGCATTATAGCTTTTGGAATTTTTCAGGGGAAACTATGCAAATGTTTTGATGGAGTTGAAATGCCCGTTTTACACCGGATGTTTTTAAATGGTTATATGCTCTATTACAATGTAGGATATAAAAATACAAATGACAGAATTTAAGGAAAGCGTTTTGACCTCCAAGGTAAACAATTCCATATTGCAGTGTCCATTTTGGACTGTTTTGGAAGGAACCAAATTTTCTGTGGAAGGTTTCCTTTTTAACTGATCAACCTAAGGCAATGAGTTTAGCAGCTCTGGCTCTTTCATTTCAGTCCTTGCTGAGAATCACCTTCTCTGCTTCTACTTGTTGCTTTCTTTGCTTTATTTTTTTTAGGAGTTGTCAGTTTTCAGTCCTCTTCAGGCTCTTTCCCCAGTAGCAGGAGGCACAGAGATCTTGTTTCTTTTTTCCATATTCAGAATATGAGACGCAAAGAAGCCCACAGTCTAGTTGCTGAGCTAGGTTTATTGCAGCAAGTTGGCATTGTGGGGCACATTCTTCCCAACATCTTGAAGCTTTTAGCAAGCCTTTTCTCTTATTTGAGAACTGACACAATTTGATTTCTGTTTACTGAGGAGTCGAATAATCCTGCAACACAGATTTGCGTTTTCCTAACTCAATTTTAGTGTACTTTCAATAATTCAGTGATCTTGTTTTTAATATTGCTGCTTTATTTACAACTTCAAGTGTTTGTTTGTTTTTTTAAACTACAAACGATACCTTTCAGTAAATGAAGACCCGTATTTCAGGCAACTAGTAGACAGTGCTGCTTTTTTTTTTTTTTTTTTTTTGCATGAAACTCCTGGCAGAAATACTTCAGGAAAGTAAAGAAAAAGGAAATCTAAGGCACTATTTTGTTCGTGGACATGTTTCAAGTTTGGCTTGTAATAATGAAATGTGTTGAGAGATGCTGCATTTCTCAGCCTGGTGGATCAGATGTCTCAT